GTCGGCGAAGCAGGGCAATGGTTGGACACAGGTGAATTCAACGCCTTTGTTTTAAAGGTGTCAACCTTCGCTGATTCCCAGCGACATAGTAGTAGTAGTACTACTTCTACTACTACTACTACTACTACTACTACTACTACTGCCACTACTACTACCACTACCACTACCACTACCACTACCACTACCGCTACGACTACTACTACTACTACTGCTACTACTACTACTACTACTACTACTACTCCTACTACTACTAGGAGGTCGTAGTTATCGTGAGCCTCAGAACTGATTTAGTGTTTCGGGCCAGAATAAAACCAGAAGGGCGGACATGAGAAAAGCGGAGCAGGACGAGACCTGAAGGATGAGGGTGGAAAAGAAAAGCCGACAAGCAGAGAAGCGGAGGAGCATAAGAGAACAGCAAAAGCAGAACCAAGAACAAGCAGAAAAAACGAGAAGCAAACACAGGCAGAAAGCAGAAACAATCGCGGAAAAGAGAGTAACAGAAAAGCAAAGCAGACGAGAAAAGCAGAGAAGCAGGAAAGCAAAAAACAAGCGGAACACCACAAGCAAGCGAAAGCAGCAGGCAGAACGGCAAAACAATAGCAAAGGATAGAAACCAAAAGAAAACAGCAACTCCCAACAAAATAGTTCCCCTTATTCTAGCCCCATCCACTGAAAGCCTGCACACAAGCGGGCAGTCGTGTCCCTGCGGGCACAGCTGGACATGCACTGAGGTTTCGGCAGAGCAAAGCAGGCTGGAACAGCCTTGAAAATGGACGGGTGCCTTGGAGGCGACGAAAGGCAGATCTTGGGCCTCTTGGGGCCAAGTTGGGCCCTGAGGCTCCTGCGAAGAGATGCAAGCTCCAAGGAGCTCCAAGCCTCGGAGCTGCCAAAGTACATACTGCAGCAATGCGCCCTGCTGCGGCCTGCTGCGGTCCGCTGCGGTCTGCACTTCGAGCGTGTGCAAATGCACGCAGTCGACCACGCAATAGTTACTAGTTGAAACAAAAGCGCACCACCAGTCTGAGTCCGGAAAAAGCGAGGAATAGCAAGGAACACAGATTATGAGAAGCCCGACTTGCCCTCTCCTTTGGTTTGCAGCAGACAGTGCATCTTGCAAGCTTTACAAAGAGTGCAACATGTTCAAGGCAGCAGTACCGGGAAGTCTTGTGTTTCTTCCCGGGGAGCAAGAGAATGGATGCAATAGGTGTTCCTGGTTGAAAGGCGGCCAGGAAGTGTCTGGTCGTGAAAGTGTTGGCAGTGCGGCCTTCTCACCGCCGCTGTCGCAAACACTGTACAACCGCTTGCTTTGGTTTGGCGCGCAGCCCCAACCGATCGAAAGCCGCTGCAGGCTACCAGTACATACCAATGACAGGTTTCTTTGTTGCACTCTGCTCCAGAAGACATCCACAACAACAGCTGCTCGGTCAGCGACAAACATATCCAGCAGGCAGAAGAGCTTGTCTTTTTGCAATAATTCCAGAATCGAGTGTGCAATCATCCGGATGCTTTCATGTTCACGGTGCTTGATCAACAACAAATTCCCAGAAGGCCGGGTCTTGCGAGGCAAGGCACGACTGTTTCGTAGTGCGGTGATGCGGCAGATTTCCGCGCAGGAGATGTGACAAAGCTGGCGGTATCGATCAACACTGCAGGATCTCGGAGGTTGAACTTGGCAGGTTTCGGTCTTCGCCATCATCAAACGACAAGCTTTTCCAAAGGGTGTGGTTAGAAGACAGCTGATAAGAGTGAATGTACATGTACACATGTTAGGGCTTCCCTCGCGACGATCTCCAGCATGCATGAATGAGAAGATTTGCCAGATTTGCCGGCTTATGATGTAGCTTTTGAGTGTTGTTTGGCTCCCGCTTGGCTGGTACGAGGACCGCATAGCAGGTCACAAGTCGGATTCGAGGGTGGAGGAATACAAACATGCCCTGATGCGAAGGGTACTACATGGACTTGCTTGCGAAGTGTTGTTAGATGCTGCTGAGTTCGCTATTCAAACCCATCGTCGCGTTGTGTTGCCGAATGCATCAAACAAGCAATTCTCCGCGGGGGGGGGGGAGGGGGGGGCACCTGGGGAATGATGGGGCAGGTGCCAATGAAGACACCAATCCTGACCTGTGCCCATCCTGTGACATACCACTCCTACGCACCTGCGTATGCTTCTGCCATCGATTGAGATTGCGACGTCATGTTATTCCATGCGCCTTCCACTGAGATTGCTACGTCAAATGATTGTTTTCGCGATGCTCGTGTCAGCTTGACGAGTGTGTGTTTGTGGGTTGGAGTAGGCTGTGATGACAACTCAGTTTCAACCTTCGCCCACAGCAAGGTCCACAAGAAGACGGAGACTACTCCAAGCGCTGCACAGAGCGGCCGTGGAAACTTGACGTTGGCCAGCCAGTAGCCCTGTCCACACTCGCTGCAGATCAAACGGCAGGTGCACAGGAGTGTTGCAGCATCACTCGGGCCTCTCTGTTTCCTGTGCGCATCCTCTCGCTCGGGTCCATTGAGTATCTGGTGGACCTTTGCATGCACTACCTGCACTACAGTGTTGGTCTCGTAGCAAGAAACCAAGAATGTGCAGCGCACACGTCTATGCAAATCGTGGAAGGAGATGTACCAAACAACCAACGGGATCTTGAAAAGATGTTGGTGATGCAAGCATCGCTATTCGTCAAGCCCTTCCCTGCAGACTTTGGAATTCCCCTGCTGCACACGATGGTGTTTGGATAAACGAACAAACTCCAGGCTCATTCCACTGCATGCTCCGTTCCTGCTTTATTTATGCTTTGTTGACCCGGAAGAAAAACAGCGTTCGACAACAGCCGCCGCCAGCACTTGGCCACCTCCATCTGCTACCACGTGGCGCTTTTTTGGGTTTCGGCGCTCACACTCGGACAAGCCAGGCGAGGTTATTGGTGCATGGGCGGTTGAGGTGAAACACTTCCAAGAATGTGCCACCGATTGACACAAAGCTACAATTTTTGGGTTTACGCTCTCGCAACTCAGACAATTTTTGGGTTTAGGGCTTCAGGCAGCACTCGGACGGTGCCTGATCGGGTTGAAGTTTGGGCTTGGACTTTCCAGGCGAGGCATCTGAGAGGGTCGCATTTTGCTTCTTCGGCGCTCACACTCGGACGGACTAGGCGAGGCAGGTCTTTTTGTTTGGCGCTCCGGGTTCGGTGCGTGCTGAAAGATGTTTGGCTGCGCACAGCAACCAACGATTTCTGTGGGATGGCACTATGTAATGGCGTCCCGACACACCAGGCTCGTGGACGGTTTTGGTATTTCAATCCCTTCAGACGCTCCAGGCGAAGTTCCAGTCCACGTGCCATAGCAGGCCAACCACATTGGGCTCTCACTGACTAAGCAGACAGAGGCCGCTCGGAGACCACTCCACCACCGAGAAATATGTCAACTCTCCACCACTGCTGGGCGCTCTGGGCCCATTCACGGAGATTCACCGAAGCCACCCATCCCCACCAATCGAAGCACATGCGTCCCCGTCTACAAACTGGCGATTCATGTTGACGGCGCTCACTAGAATGCGCCGTCATGATGGCACTTGGCACCCGACATGCTGGAGACGTCGTAATCCGCCATGACCTCAGTCTTTCGACTACAGCTCTCACTACTTGTGAATTAAAACACGAAATCTGTTCACAGATCATCGGGCACCCGGCACAAAGATCTTGTACAAAGATGTAGTACCTGACGGCGCATGGCATGAACAGCAGCAACGCTGCGATCCCAAAGATGCTTCTGGAGGTTTGCGAGCGCATGGACAAGCGGAAGAGTACATCGAGCTCCGCCGACTAAGCCGGCTGCATTCGGAGAGGTCCTCTCAGTCCGTCTGGGGCCTGACACTGGGGGGTCGAGTGGCGGTTTGGCAAGCATGTTTATTGAGCAACCTGCAGACGCTGTCAGCTTCAAGCCCAAGGCCCATGTCTTGCACAAGGTAACTCAAAGGTTTTGTGCATTTGGATGCATTTGGTCAAGGCCTGGTTTGGCGCCACGTTGGGCCTCGGATGCAGAATGATGAACAACGCGGGAGGCTGTTCTTGTCGGTTACTGTGTTACAATTCGAATGGTAGAGGCAGCCCGTAACAAAGATGTCCATGGCAGATGGCGGCTGCAGCAGCAGACGGTTGGTACTCGAGGAGCAGGGGGCAGGATTTACAGTTTCAGACGTTTCAGAATCCTAGCCTTAAGGGTGTGTGGTACAACCTTCATTTCTCCCTGGAGAACCCTAAACACCCTTCACAACGAGGACCTGGCAGCTTTCCGACGGGTGCCCTCCGCATCACAGAGCCTGACTGACACCACTACCCGACAACTGCCGCAGTAGAATGCTGCAGATGAGGGGGGACAGCTGTGGCCCTGCAGGAATTTATCGTGCCCTGTGCGAAAGCGGTCTGGTCACTGTTTTCAGTAGCTGCTCAGTAGCTGTAGCTCTGGATGGCTAGAAGCATGTGCAAGCTGATGATGGCGACGAATGCCTTCCAGAAGACTGTTACCGTTTGGAGGAATCCGCCGAGTGCTCTGCCTTTCTGCACATCCCTGCTCTCACTGGCCACTGGTCGCTGCAAGAACCTGCTTCTCTGTTCAAGCGGCGAAGTATTTTCTGATCCAGTTTTTTCGTGAGACCCCTTCGCCACATTCTCCAGACACCTTAGAATGTCCTGGGCGTGGAGGTTTCATGCAGGAGTTGATAGCTGGGACCGTCTTCGCAAGCGTCTACAAAGTCCAGCTTCAGTGCCCGTCCGTTAAGCTCCGAAGTTCGGCAAGTTCCATGGGTCTCCGCCAATGCAAAGCAGCCATCACGACGATCACGGCATTCACGGTGTCAAGCGAAACATGAGATCGCCAGTCCCTCGGGTTGGGTGCCTTACCTTCCCTGGCTTCGAGACTATGCAGACGTGGTTGCCGGAGGCCTTGTGGGCTCATCGGACTTGAAATCTGGAGTCGGCAGCGCCAGCATCGACACCGGATCGCTAGGCTGGACCGTGGTCATTCATCAACTCCTGCTTTGGCTGAGGCACTCAACGACTGCCGGAGCGAAACAAGGTCACCAAGCCTTCAGCGCTTGTCCAAAGAGGCATCTCCGGCTTACGACATGCCGGATGGCCCTCAGCAACGCAGCTCAGGCGCAGATCAGGCACGGCATTGTCAGTGGCTTGCTGAGCTACCCGCCGCTCCCTGGCAAGGCTTCCGAGATGCTGTCGTCTTGACACGTCGTTAACCTGGGCCGGTCTGGGCAGGTGGATCCGCCTGAAAACCCATCGTCTTCTCGAATCTGCAGCCAGGCGGCAAGCATCTTCACCAGCTTGGCAAAGCCTGCAGCCTCCGCCTCCGTAGCCACGATCGTGTGAGCCACGTGCACATACCAGCGACTGCCTGCAAGTCTTTGGGCTTTCAGCTCCAGGTCAATATCAAGTAAGCGGCAAAGCAAAGTGAAAGCTCATGTGCAGTCGCTAGATTTGATGCATCTTCTCGCCTTTCGTGCTGTCATGGCCCGGCCGCAACGGGTTGAGAGTGAGCTCTGCCTCTTCCATGGTGATGCCACGAAGCATCTCACGAGTCCTGGAAGCGCGTTTTGCCACAGCAGGCATGCAGGCGCCGGGCGCCATGCCATCCTGCTCGGGCCATGTCCTTGAGTCGTGCACGAGCGGCACGTTGTGCACCTGCAGCTCCTGCATCTTTCAGCTGCATACGCGGAGCGAGACATTTATCAGGAGATACATACGCAGACTAACGCTGCATGCGATTCTCTGATGCTTTTTTGCTTTGGTCCGCGGTTCATGAGGCCTGATGCATTGGGATCCACGAAGGCACGTCAAAATGAACAGGGCCCGAGCACTTCGTGCTTCGCCCAGGCGTGTGCCGCGCGGAAATGTCATACTTAAAATGCTGGGGTTCAGACTGCTGACAGGGCAGTTTCGGCCATCGGCAGCTATTTCTGCAGCCACACCTGTCCGTTGTTCCAAACGATGCTCTTCTGTGTTTCCAGGCAGACTTGTCCGATGAGGACATGGCCCTCCATCTCTAAGGCCACATGCGCTTCTGATTCATTTGGCATGCGACTGCCCACAATGCCGCTAGTAGGGACCCAAGGTCTGATCCAAGTGATCAGCGAGCCAGACACAGATCCGACAAGCTGTCCATCTGACTCGCAGTACCAGTTTCCCTGCAAGTGCATCAGGATGTCAAAAGTGTCATCGTCGTTCTCTTCGCTGAGATACAGCTCCGGATCACGGAGAACCTTCATGGCTGCACACGTCTTCCCCAAAACCAAATCGGATGAACGCTTCTTGGGAGCGATCTGGCAATCAGTGCCACAGTTTTCTTGAAACTCGTTGCATCCACCACACTCCAGACATCGCAGTTGAAGGTTTCCCATCGCGATGCGGCTGCACTGGCCTCCTATGCTACATGCTGGTATGGCTGGCAGATGCTGGTAATAATTAGTAGTCAGTAGTTCTCTTATTGTTGCGCTTGAGAAGGTCCTGCCCATGCCGTGCTAAAGTACTGGCTCCGTGCATAGCGCCAAACACAGCTTGAGAAGCCAGTGGCACGCAACACGCGAGCTCAGCTCAAGGAAGCGACCACAATATTTGCCACGAGTAATTTCCAACTGCTCTTCCTTGCCTCGAGGAAGTTTGCTTCCTTCAGGCCGCAGGCTGCGGTGCTCACAACAGGAATACCACGAAGCTGTGCCTGGCACTCGAGGTTTACATTGACGGAAACTAGATTTGTCTCAATGTGCCTCCACAGCAACCAGGCCAAACGACTCTTGCCAAAGCGAAGGCATCAGCAAGACAGCTGTCCTTGACGATGTCATTGTCAAGACATAGATACTGCACGCACTCTGACGCTGCCTTTGATCCTACACAAACCTTTGCATGCTGATCTCGAGTTTCGTGCAAAGGCGGGTTTGAACAATGCCAAATTCGAGGCCGGCTGGGAGCACTGCGCTAGCATGGAGCGTGACAAGCATCTGGCGGTAGATTTCTTCGATGTTGTCAGTCCCCGCCACTATGTTGATATTGGGATGTGCTCGCCTGGGCAAGCATCAGGTAGCAGCTAGCATTGGTAAAGAGGTGCAGGGTGTGATTTTGAAAGGCTTCTAAACTCCAGGATGAACTGGAACTCGGTCTTCTGTTTCCTGACCAGCCACAGCTGGACCTCGTGCAAAGTCTTTGTCCACCCTGTGCTGACGCACAGGAACTGGATATTGCCAAACCTGTTCCGGGGACACAACTTCAGATCAGATTCTGTTGGTGGAGATATCGCGAGCCAGGTAACATCAAAGCCAAGCGCAGTACCACCGCAAGGCCCTTCGCTGGACAAGGACTGATGAAGGTAACCTCAGCATGAATCGGAATAAGTTGAACTCTTGCGTCATGATGCCTTCTTGCCTGCGGTGGAAAGATGCGAACTGACTATCCTCGCCATTATCCGTGCAGTCACAGTGTACAATGGAATGCATGCCTGCGCTTTTCGCAGCATGTCAACTTCAACGTTGTCTACGTTGCCTACGTGGCACTCGGCGGTGCTCAGCCCTTCAGTCAGGATGCTATGGCCACCCTTCGGGGCTGTGGGTCTCGGAGCACTCTCTCATCCGACGTGCGCTGCAGCTCGGAAAAAGCTTGCTGTAACGTCGCAGTTTTCTTCAAAACCTGGTCCGTCTGCAGTCGCATCTTTGCTGCAGCATCCTGCTTCTCCTCTATAGTTGCCGTTAATCGAGCTAGAGTTTGCTCAAACTCAAGAATTCTGCTGGTGGCTTCCCGCTGGGCATCTTCTCCACCTGACACCGCCTTGGCTGTTGCCAGAGTGGTCTGCTCAACGAGCTTCTCCTGGTCTCGTTCCAATGCACGGATCTGCTGTTGCCGTAGCTCTTCAATGTGCTCTAATTCACGTAGCTTGGCCTCCGCCTTCTTGCAAGACTCACGCTGCAATGTGCTCTCCTCTGCCGCTACCTGAGGGGTCTCCGTCCTCAGCATTTCGGCTCGGGCTTCTAATCGCTTGAGATCCGAGACGAGGTCCTCCAAGCGGTTCTTCGCTTTGCTTCTTTCTCGCTTCAGCTCCAGGATCTCGCTCTCGAAACAAACTTCATCGTCTCGGCATGTCTGCTGAAGCTGCTCCAACTCTTCCGACAACGCTTGTATCACGAACGACAGCTCCTTGTGCTGCTGCCAGCCCTTGTAGTTGTCGCTTTCTGAGATCATGTCAAGCTCTCGGTGCAATCGCTGCAGCTCGGTTTGCTGGCCTTCAAGTTTCCCTAGCAAACCATCGATTTCGGGACTCAGTGTTTCCAAGCCCGACAAAGCCGGAGGCGCCGCCGGTGAGGCGGTCGCCACAAGTGTGGCATTGATTTCTTCGGATTCTCTGCACAATCTGCGCAATTCTTCGCAGCGACCGGTTGCGATAGCAATCAGAGCCTGTGCCTCTGCCTCTGGCATGGCACTCCCCATCTTCATTTCCATGGCCTGCTCAAGCTGCAAGGTGATGGTCTCAATCCTCGCCTCACTGCTCTCGCGCAAGGCTCGCTGCCTTGCCAGCGCCGTGTGTAACTCAGTCTGCAAGCCGATCTGGATTTGCTCGGAATCTTCAAGCAGCTGGTCAGTGGTCGCTCCCTGTAAACTTGGTGCCGGCTGTTCCGACGCTATGCTTTGCACACGCTCCAGCTTCTGCAGAAGGCGATGCTTCCGCTCACGCAGCCGTGAGTTTGCAGCCTCAGCTCCAAATCTGCTGCAGACCAAGAAACCACATGTGCTGCGTAGGTGTGCTGGGTAATGGTACAATCACCATGTGTATAGAGATTGTTTGACCATCTTTTACAACTAAGCAGGGCGCCTCTGCGCGTTCAAGAAGTAAGCGGTGCTTCATGGGCGCTGCACAGGTTGTATGACTTCCATTTCTGGCCAGCTTCTGTAACTCGGCATTTTGCAGCTCCAGAGCGATTGCTTGACGCCGGGCTGAAGGCAGCTGAAAATGGAACTTGGATTGTCTGGTCTCCGCTCGTGCTTGCAAGTCCATGGAATCCAGCGCTCGCATCTCTACCACCAGAGAGGCAGTGCCTACAGCAAAGCGCATCACGCGAGGTGGGCTGCCGGGAACGAGGTTCGAAATACTGGCCGGGAGCGTGATCTGACCAAGTTCCGATTTACAGCCTTCCAGAATGGAGAAGATAGATATGTACACGTCCGATTCCGGAGTTGTCAAGCTGAAAGACTCACCCCATTCGGGGCGCAAAGTGCCACTGCCGGCATGAACTTCTACTGCGAGTTGCGAAGCTTGCGAAGCCGACAGGTCGGGTATAGAAAGTCGAATCTGAAGCACCGTCGCAGCTGCATTGCCCATGGCGGTGATGAAGGGATGAAACACTAGCCCTTGGTGGCATCCAGCCGATACAACGGTCACTCCGGCATTTCCCTGCCACTACATCTACTGCTCGTGGAGATTCACTCAGATCGTAAATAGATGAGCATCTTGCCTAAAATCACGGCATGTTCGATGGATTGTTACAACCAGAAGCACTGATTGTCCATGCTTCCAGGCCTGGACCTGCAAACGCCGACATACGGACACACTTACTTACGCACACACGCACACACGCACACACAACAAGCAATTCTGCAATCACAAAATGCAAAGGGGCGCACCGCACAACAAAGGAACCGGGCTCAAACGCTTCATTACGCTCCACGTGGAAACCGAATTCAAGACACCGAAACAGAGATGGGTAGATAGAGACGCCTAGAATGGAAGAGCGACAAGCAGACAGGCGGACACAGCGAGAAGAGAACAACGTGAGAGAGAAACAGAGATAGTGGAAACTGCGGCAGGCCAGCAAGCAGATAGACAGACTCAGCCTTGAAGCCTCCAAGACGCAGAAAGAGAGACAAATGAACAAGCAGACGGACAAGCGAGACGCCACTTCTAGTTATTCTAGTTCGCCAATCAGCCACCTAGCTCAGCCTGCCCAGCCTTCGTATAAACTACACACAAAATCCGCCTGGCCAGGGAATGCTTGCGCATCTGGGCCCGCAACATACTGCCCCTTGTCGCACACGGCCGGAGGCGAGAAACCGTGGATGCTGTCGAAGTAGCCTGGCGAGAGAACTGTCACTCCACAGGCATGTCTGGGTGGAGCAGCTGGCTAAGGCACCATAGTCAGCGCAGTAGCACAGGCATGTCTGGACATCACCTGAGCTCAACATAGCTCAACGACGGCAACAGGGCTTGGGCATGACTTCAGCATGGATGTGTCGCGCAGTTGTCGTCAAGCCACCCTCCGAGAAGCGCTCCACGAAATTGCAGAGGTGCTGGGATGTGCAGAACATCACGAGGCTGGGATTCTTAAGCAGCTCGCGGTGAACGGACAACCTTGGACTCCAGCTTGCAACGAAAGCCACGAAAGCCAGCATGGCTAAAGCTCCGCTCCGAGCAGCGATGTCGGCTCGGCTTCCATACCCCACGGTCCAAATGGAAGATTGTAGTCATGGCCCATTACCTCAATCATTGCTCTTCAAAGTGCAGATCTTGCTGCTTGTGGCTGCCATTCCTGCCTATGTCCGCACTTGCTGTCTGACCACTGACCACGACTGACAATATCGTTTGAGCCGGGCGACCACGCACCTCTTTGAACGGATGCTCCTGAAGGGGACCGAGCTGGGTCAGCACGAAGCTTTACTGAATGAGCAAGCTCCTCAGTATCTCCAGGCAGCTTCGCCTTGCTTGGATGGACACTGCCACGTCCACCACCAAATCCCCAGCACATGCACCTAGGTGACAAAGCTTTGCAGATTTCTTGGAAACGCGACAGCCCTTTTAGCCAAGGCACCCATGAGCTGGGTCATCGACCCTCGCCAAGCAGTCACCTCTCAGCAAGCCACAATCTTCCACTCAACTGAGACATCGGAGAGCTAGCTGCTTGAATCCGAGCATACGACCTGCTTCCCACCACGAAGGGCTACCGTGCAACGCTGCGGTCCTTCCTCGGGCAGCGCCCAATTGCCGGAGCTTTCGGTGGAGTCGTTCTTCCAGTCCTGAACCCCCAGCTGACAGGTGGCTTGAACGGCAGCTTTCCCCAGCTGGCGGCCCTAGCTATGGGCGAAGTGAAAAGAGAGCGGCGAAAGCCAAATCATTATGAGCATAACATTGCACAGCCGCAGCAGCAGCAAAACCTTGCGTGACTTGGTGGGGTTGAGAAAGACACCGACATCCCGCCTTTCAGCAGGTTTTGGCCCTTTTGCCCGCGCCACACTCGCCTCGTGTTTCGGCCTCCAACAATCGTGGTCCGTAGCCACGACTGCGCCTCCCGATGGCTCCCGAAGTTCTTCTCCCACCACAGTGCCGTGCATGTTCTGGGGTGCCAATCGTGTTTTCGGCCGCAGTGTGTGGGATTCATAGTGTAATCTTAGGGGCTGGAAGCGTCGAGAAAAATCCCGTAGCAGCACCATGCGTGCTTGTTTATGTCGTGCCACCCTGTGGATGTGTATCTCGGAACATCATCATCATCATCATCATCGTGATACTAATAATAATAATAATCATCATCATCATCACCATCAGCTGGAATCGGCCCGAACTTATACTACAGTGACCCGCTAATCCTGCGGAGATGTTCTCGTAGCGGCGGACTTGCCTAGTGGCATTTTTTCGCTCACGACATGCAAAACGTATTCGCTAGCCGCCAACAGAGAGCTGAATGCTCCTGCCAGCTTCTCGCCCAGTGTCTATCTGAAGTTGTGTCTTGAAACGTGAAATGTTCTCGCTAATGCTTCCGAACACCAGGTCTCCTCAAGCGACGATTCAGCGAAGATTAAAGTCAAGTGTGTTAATGATGGCAGCTGGTCCTAGTAACTGTGCAGGCCACGCACAGCGTGTGCTAGAAACGCATGCAACAGGAGATATAACCTTACCCTCAAAAATGCTGTGGACATCCGTGGACTGGCTGCAGCTCAAGGAGCATAAATCAATAGCGCTGTCAGCACGACGCCTTCTGTGCACATGATGTCACGCAAGAGCGCCTCGACCAAGACACATGCAGAGGGAAAGACGACAATATGCAAACTGCGGCCTGCATTGCCCTTCTGCAGATCTCTGACGTCCCTTCAGTACGTATACAATCTCCACATGAGGGCATAATCATGCCACATTGATTGCAGGCAAACCAGAGTTGTCGTCGGGAGCTGAGATCAAATCAAGATTTCATAGGGTTGGGCAGACTAACGTGTTGAAGGAATCAGTAAGAAGCATGTTCCAAGATAATGTGGCTGCTGCAAACTGCATTCCATCGACAGGCATCGCTTGACAGCCAACCACAAGGCCAAGCCATGCCTGTCCCGAAACAGCTGGGCCGATGTAAAACTTATTCTGCACTGTGTGGTTTGGCAACTACCTGTGACGGCCGTCTGTACCAGCAGATCAGGATTTCCCTCTCAAGAGACCACAGACGTTCCACAGACTGAACGACAGACCAAACAGCTCCTAAACAAAGGCCATGACAGAGTGGATAGGGCCTACATCCCGGTGCTAGTGGGAAATGACAGTACCACTTAGCCAAGTCACTGAAGAGCCCAACCCCCGTGCGTGGACTGAACGACTCTGGAAATCAGTGTACACCATGCAGGACTTCACAGGATGTAGGCGGTACTGCTGCGTCGTGATGATGGAACAGGCACCAGCATTCAAAATCGCTCCGAATTTGTCGCTCTTCGTGCGTTGTGTCTCGTACCACAGCAGCAGTACTCAACGACATGGCTCTATCAGCGCCATGTCAAGCGTGTCGCTTTATTCACAGCTCTAGCCCAGACTCCAGCCGACAACCTTGCTTGTGTTTGGGGAGACCGGAAAAGACTCTGTTCACGACAAGACGACTGGCATGCCCCAACAGCAACTCAGTTGGACGAGGAAGTCTTGCCGGTGCTAAGCCTTTACAAGGTCAACCTGGACTCTGCCTGAACATGAATGGCAACTGTTGCTTAGGACCAGTGTCATGATCAGTCATCTGCACCTTGCTCGGACCATCTTCTACTCTTGTATTCAATGTGTATACTAAATTCATTGAGTGGCGCCTGCGCAGCATAGCGCCGCCCGTTGCCAGTTGTCGACACCATTCCCATGTCCTGGCTTGGGCCATGGGTAGTGTCATGCCTTGCTTCTCTTGGCACCTGCCAGACTTGTGGGGCACAACGATCCGACTGAGGGTGCTGCAAAAAGACTCGTTTCATCGAACTCATCCTGACAGTACGCGATTGGAATAATACTTCACAGCTGCACGCCACCCCACCAATGATACACATTTGCAAAATCCTGGGTGGCGAGGACGGCAATTCGTAGTGCGGACAAATCCTGTGCAATCTTTGCAGCAGCATGGACCGCGACACGCCACCGAAGCGTCGGGTACTCGAACTGGTGGGTCCTCAGGCTCATCGGGCGCTGCTTGCGCAGGCCTCAAGGGTCCGGCAATGGGGAAGGCACAGTGAATCCGATACCTGTGCCGCCCGTGTGCCTGACGAGGAGATCAGCACCGGGCTGCGCAGTCGCGGCAGCCAGGAGCTGGCTTCCAGGTCCAGGCGGTCTTAAATACAGCAAACCTGCACGAAACTTGACAAAGGCTGAAATCGGAGACTGTTGTCCGAATGCCTCCGTAGAGAACGATGCCAGAAAGGCCTCGATCCTCGCAAAAAGCCTCCACTCACCAGGTCCAGGTATGAACTTGTTTCTTCTTGGCATTTTGCCTACCGTCACAGATGATTTCGTCATAGACTAGGATAGGGTTTCACCTAAGGTTTCATCGGCATGCGGCTCATGCGGCCAGGCCAGAGCCCACAAGAGTTTGGGACTCAGGCGAAGTGTCGCAGCGTGATGCCTTGGCACCTGCCAGCTTGCACAGCGCCACTGGCTTGCCGACATCCTGCACAGACATGCAGGAAGATTGCCTGAGTTACAGCCTAAATTTGAGCCGTAGCTAGGGGCCGGTTCTAAGACATGGGGTGACGTGGGATCAACATGGATCAAACACACTCGCCCAATATTGAGGTGGATTCGAGATATGCCAATCGACATGGCCTACTCAGGGCGGGTTCAAGCGCAAGCATCTAACCAGGGATCGGGTTGAAGATATCAGCGTAATCGCCAACATCTAGTGAGTTGGCGAGTTTGAGATATGCAACCATCTGCGGCGTGCAATCTTTCAATCTGCCATTCCTTTTTTGTCACGCGTGCTCGACCTGCCATACCTTACCTTCGAACTTTTAGACCCAGAACTCGGCCGGCCGTCGAACCTTCCAACACGACGCATTGCAAACCTTCCAACTGTTCATACTTCCAAGCGATGAACCTCTCCTGTCGTTCAAACTTTAACACTTTCGAAAATTCAATCCTGCGCACTCCCAACCTCTCAAACTCGACTTCTGTGATCGCGGTCGAAGACAGCCGTTGTGGCCGGGGGGGCGGCGGTTGGGCCTGCCTTGACGGGCAGGCCGTCGGGGTGTGGGCGACAACCTAATGTGTTGAAACCCCCCACGCAGAACCATCGCAACCCCGCGGCCCAAACCATCAACGCGGAACATCCTTCGATTTTTTCGTACGTGCCCACAGGGACCGGGACATCAGAGCCGGCGTAGGGTCACGCCCAAATTCTGCAGCCACTTCGTACACGACAAAACACGATGGCCCACCTTTGACCTGTGCTGGACACAGACACTCATAACTGCAGGAAAACCTGTCCTGCATTTATGCGATTATTTACGAGATTCAGGCCGCAGCTGTTCACTGGTCTGAAACTCACACAGCACATGTGGCCGGCGAGGCATCGGATAATCAGGACCCACTCCCCTGCCCACTATCTACGTACTAAGCGCGCAGGGGCTCTTCCTGTCATCGCGCAAGAACGGCTGTTTGTCCAAACACCTCCGGAATTCCTCCGCCTTTGAACGTCCCATTCTCGGCTCGGGAGCGACGTCGTGGTCTTTACTTTACCGATGGGGTCAGCTCCGAGCTCGAGTCCCAAAGATCTAGCTAATGAGATGATCGGCGGGGTCATGTTCTTGCCTGACGACGCCCCTAGACAGTTTTCGCTTGGGGTGCCATCCCAGGTAATGCAGCGGTGGTCCCCCAGAAAGACTCAGATCTGTATGATTGAGCTACAGCTGCTGTAGTCGCAGTTCACACGTCTCGTGAGTTACGGGTTCTTGAACTATGATTCTGATACATTCTGATTCTGGTTTGTGGCGCTATGATCGAGCTTTAGTTTTCTGGACGCAGGGGACGCCGTGGACGGGTTTTGAAGTAGTAGAGCGCAAGCATCAAAGCTGGCCAAAGCCCATTTGAAGATGTTTTCTTAGAAAATTGACGATCGGACAAGGCTCGGAGGAAAGGCCGACCGATCCAGGCAAGCGAGAGCGCAGCTACTGAGGCGTCGGTCGACCGAATTTCGAGCTTCTCCGTGGCCGCGGTTGCCATATTGATCCCATGCGATTCGCACTGTCCACGCGCCTGACCTCATTCTTCTGAACGACCTCAAACCTCTGTGTGGGAATCCAGTTCTGGTTTCCCACGATCCCGGAAACGTCGTCGACACTGTAGGGCTGATCGCCGCATCCTCGCTGGCGTCTTCCATCGTAGCTTCCCAAACCTTCGGCGAGTCCTGAGTAAAAGGGGCGGACCGAACGGTTCTCAGAACCGTCTCGCGAAAATCCCAAGCCCTAGTATCCAGTTGCGATTCTCATCGTCGTTTTGCATCAGAGCGGCGACCCCACCCGGAGCTTTTGTCCATGGGGTCGTGCCAGACATGATCTGTTGAAGCAGATTTACATCTGCGCAGTTTGCAGCATACTGCAGTTTGCAACATCAAGGAGCTCCCGCCACAAAGCAACCTGGTGGAAGGAACCAAGTTGCACCGCCTCTTCGTCAGGAACTCCACATACGAGCCTACGAAGAGCGAGATCGAAGCTCGGCATCAGATTCAGCCACTAGAACTTGCGCTCTCTTTTCCCAATGCCGCAACAGATTCGCGCGACGAACTTGAACTGCTTCAGGATCTTCGACGATCCCGTCGCAGACCTTGAGCAAATCTGCCTAGAGCTCCGCGTTCTTGGTGAACGGGTGGATCACGTCCAGAGCTAGAGCGATGGCCTCGCTTCGGTGCAGTTCTGAATTGATGAAAGGTCGAACCACGGACTTCTTGATCTGGTTCCCGACGGCGATAGCCGATAGCCTTCTTACCTGACGAGCGCTGCCGGCGCTCGGAGACAGCGACCGGGGTGTCTTGAGCCACTTGCGATCGTCCTGCTGGGTTGTGCGCGCAAAGGCTGGCCCCCGCCATCGATTCCTTGCCGCGAGCGCTACCCTGCCACCGGCCCAAGGCATGGTCATATGCAGCGCAGAAGGCGTTGAATTCGATCATGCTATTTTGAAGGGGAGTGATCACAACCTTGATGGATCGACTGGCCATCTCCATGACGTCTGGACTTCAATCTCAAATTCGCGGCAGGACGAGCGTGGCCTTGCATTACCACCATGACGGTAGGCCCCTGCAAAGGAAGCGCCTCCCCGTAGATCTGCCGCTTTGCGGGTGCGCCATCTGCAGAACATCATCCCTTTTGAGCGGTGCCCAGCCGACCAGCAAGGTTCGAGCGAACTCCTCGCTTTCGCACGTACCAGCAGCACCGGACACGAGCGGCACATTTGCCTGCAGGGATTCAGTGGTTGCCGATCATGGCGTGGGGCTCTCCACACAACATGCACAGGTGCTTGAACCGACAGCCGTCCCCGGACACACAGCCGAGCAACGACTTGCAATATTGGCAACGACGAGCGGCTTGAAATCTATTGGCGGCGTCAGCGATCAGCTTCCACTCCTTCTCTTGGTTTCTCTGAAGTCTTGTTGTCCCGTTTGAGCTTCTTGGGAGGATCCTCAGTGGTGACCTTCATTTTGTCCTCCTCGTTGGGAGGATGTGGCTGTCGCTTCTTCTTGCCTCCTTGAGGTAGCTGAAAAGGATTTACGCGGCGTCACGTACCCGGCCGGGATCTGCACTCGGAGGGGCGGGAGCCCTGTTCACGTCGATCTTGGACAGGCTCGCCGTAGTGCGAGCGTCATTCCAGAAACACTTGTGGTTCGTGAGGACTTCGACAAGGGCCAAAGAGAACGAAGTGTAGGTGGCCCTCTGTTCGGAAAGAAGTCGAAAGACTTTCAGCAGCCATCAGAAATGGAAGCCCTGGACACTCGGAGCGAAATTGCTCGAGCTCGTGCCAGTACTTCAGCGGCCCTTCCGATCTGGAGAAGGCGCAGATATTCAAATTTCTTCTTGCGAAAGTTGTGCCGCATTTTGTGAGGGCTTTCAAGCGGTCTCTTGAAGCTAAAATCCATTGCACTCCTTGAACCCTCACATGAAGCGGCATGAAACCCTCAAGAGCGCGAGCCTCTAACACTCCTCTAACCCTCACACAAGGCGGCTTTAAGCTCTCGCAAGAAGCGGTCGTTGAACCCTCACGCAAATTTCAAACAAAATACAATATCGATATAGAACCCAAAGGTAGTCGGCCAGATGATATCAGGCATTTAAATCTCATCAGATCAAACCCATGCGCACACACCACGGAGACACTGTGTGCACGGGCATGCATCTCCTCAACTGGGTACAGTAGGCTTAATCCGAAACCTTTCCCACTGTATTGTGTCGCTACCAGAATCTGGAGTACCTGTTCCCCGACGCGCATGTTTCCGACTCTTCCGCCCTTGTTTTCTGGCTCACACGGGCCAGCTTTTGGACACGTAGAACTCGACTCAGTTGAGATTTCGAGACTCGACTGTCTCTCTGTTCAGGCTGCGTCAATAGCACAAAGGGTAAGAATATGGTTCCTCAGGAGGGCGAAGTGCGCGATGACATGTGACATGTGGTGAGTGTTCTGCATACTCTGCATGGCTGACCAAAATCGTTGGGATCCGAAGGCCAGATTTTCTGTTCAGCTGGTGCAGTGTGTGCGGGTCTTGCGGAGATGTTGTCCCAATCGCTACTTCGGTGAACCTTCCAAACCTGACTAAGCACAGGGACGTGCATCGCAACTAAAGCCCGCATGCCATAATTACCATGCGGCCTGCCCAGGGAGGGCATCATGTCCACGAAGTACTCGCCACCTGGTAAAGTTGTCTTGGGACACACTAGCTCATGGGATTTGCAGACATTTGGCCGGAATGTGGCGCCATCGCAAGTGGCAGTGGCGCCACAAAACCGCTGACTGCCTGGGCTGCCACTCTCCTGGTCGCCGTGGTAAGCAGGCGACCTGCACGAAGACAGCTTACAGGGAGAATTCGGGAGTATGATCATCTGATTGGTTGTAGTTGGAACAATCAGATCGATCAAGAAGCCAGCAGGCTGTCAGTTTGGACGAGCCTCTCTAGACACGGGCACCCGCGGCTGCGCGGCAATTCGTTCATCTTCACGAGTGGCCAATGCCAGACATAGCCTGAGTTTGTATAGGCTCAACGAAACACTCCTCGAACGCCACCTGAACCCCTGGAACAATGGCGCGATTACGAATCTCGTGACAGTGCCTCCAGGGCACCTTATGCGCAGCTCACCCTCCACGCCCAGAGGGAGGCACTCCGGCAGAACGGGATGCGATGATGACGTTCGATTTTGAGAAGGTGAAACTCTGCGGCGTCCTGCAGCACAGCGTGGCGGTCCAAACCGGAGCTCACTGTTTGTTAAGTCCGTCAAGCACCGAGAGCTGTACTGCACCTCGCGGTGCGAAGTGTTGCCTTCTGCAGGGTCCCGCCGCGCAATGATGCCCGTCCCGCAAGAAATGGACGTTCGCACAGACCATGCAGACATGGAAGGAATCGAAGCTAAGTTTGTTCAGCCTTGCATAAGCACATATGGAGGAGAGCCACACTTGAGGCTCCAGTTCTGCGTAGTTAGACATGCGCGCATGCTCGCCGAAGGCTCCATGCAATGGCGTGCAGCTCTTGGGGCAATCTCGTGGCTCATCCGGCACCGGACGGCTATCTGACGATCACTTCAATCAATCTTCGGTCCCTGCGACAAACTGTCCATAGCTGCCCAAACCCTCATTGATCTGAGGCTGGTGCGAATGTTCTGAAACTCGCCAGCAGTTGGCAGCTCCATCTGATGCATCACATGAAGGCGGCATCTCAAAACGGCATGCCATTGCATGCCGGAGATCTGCGACTTGCGCACAAGCGATCCTGAGTAGCTGCTTGGGCCGCTTGGTCAGCCAAGTGTTCTGCAAGCTGTCGCAAACCGGCGCCTGAGTGGCAATATGCCGCTTTCCGTGAATTGCGTGCCGCGTCGCCGCGTCGCAGGCCCCCCCCCCCATGGTACCCCCCCCGCCCAACCCAACAGGGGGGGGGAAGCATGAGCCACAACATTGGGAACCACGCAGGTGCGGAAGGATGACCAACAAGACTGGGAACGGGGGCGGAGAAGGATGACCCACAAGACTGGGAACCACAGGGAGGGGGCGGCGGGGAAGGATGACCCGCAACACTGCGAAACACAGAGGGGGGAGCGGCAGGAGGCAACCCACACCACAGAGGAAGGGCGGGGGATGCCATGGGGTGGGTGGGGGGGGGGGGGCCTTGCAGCGCTGTACCATACATGCCCTGCAGACTGCTGACTACTGGCCCGTGAGGCCGCTGCAAGCTGTGTGATGAACGCTGGCCTGGGCGCACGGCGACTAGATTCGAAGCACAAAATACCTTGCGGTCACCCCGAAAGCAAAGCAGCCGGCATTCGAGGAGTTGTGCAAGCTGTACAGCAACCTCAGCTCAGGAATACAAGCCATGCGTTTTTCAGTAACCTTGGCCATAGCCAAAAGCCAAAAAACTGCATCAACTGTTCCACCACCGTCTCGTTCAACAGCTTGATGTGAGACCTTGGCGGAAATCCCTGGCTCCCCTTCAACGTCTGTTTGGCATACATGCTTTACACAATCGATACGGCCACCACCTGACGCTGGGCCAATGACGGCGTCGCCATGATTGTTTGTAAAACCTTGAGCTGCACCTCCACAAGAAGTGGTCCGTTGCAGTTAGCTGCTGTGCTCCAAGCCTCCTACAGCATTTGGACAGTTGAGGGATTCTGAATTAGGGGGCGTGCTGTCTCATCGCCATTCGCTGCCTGGCAGGTTTGGAAATGGCGAAGCTTCCCACTCTCCCCTTGCATCTCCCAGCTTCCAGTAGCTCACAGAGCGACATGTCTAGACACTGGTCATCACCACCGCGCCCCCAGTGGCAATGCATCGGTTGCTGATCATGGATGCACTCCCGATCCCTTCCGCCTGTTCCTTCATGAGATTTACCACAATAGCAACTGTCTCCTCTTTCAGCGCTTCTCGATGGATCAGCCTCGCCCAGTTGTGAAGTTCGGAGCAGTCGGCGCTCACAAGAATGCATGCTTGTCCCGACTGGTGACGTGCCTCTGCAAACAAGAGAGCGAAATCATCACGATCTTGTTGTGAAAAGTTTCGCAGGCCTTGCTCGAATCTCTCACAAGTAGACGCTTTCACTTCACAGGTGCTGCTCAGCTTAGAGCCATGAGGATGGCCCGCAAGACCTCGTCCAGGGGGAAGTCGGACGACGTGCCCATGCTGGCGCCTCCATAAAGATCTCAAGGCAAAGAGCCGAGCGTTGGTGTGACCCCCCGCTGCCTGAACCGTGTCCGTTTCTCGAGGCATCTTCTCTGTGATGCCGGATCTTCAAGATGGCTCTATCCGTGTACTCCTGGGAGTGCAGAGTCCGTCCCTCGAGCAGCACTCTTCCGGGCGAATGCCTTGATGATCGGATACTTCTTCCGGCATTCTTGACCTCAGCCCCAGCCCGAATACCACCTCCAACTGCGCAGCGAGGAGAGGAGGCGGCTCAGCTCTCGAAGCTCGGCTTCCACTTCCTGACCTTAGACGTAGAGGCTTATAAGACTTATAAGGGGATAGCCACGCCTGCAGCCCCTGCGGCCCCTGCAGCCCCTGCAGCGCCCTGCACAGTAAGGCCTGGACAAACCTGCATCTGGAGTGCATCGAGGCACCGGTCACACCAAGTGTGTACTCGCCAGTCTCAGCCTTCGCAGGCCCACGACTACACGACTTGAACGATCTCCAGCACACTCCGTGATCCGAGAGGCGCGCCGTCGGAGGGGACCATTCCTTTTGAAGGCGTCGCGCATGAGACCGCTACTGTCAGTCTATACTCGTTTGGCTCCACTTGTGTTGGGTTGGGAGCATCTCCAACGTAGTGAAGAGTTTATCTGTGGCATCAGCCAAGACAAAGCTCCAGCCATGTGGATCAACTTTGCTCTCACTTGTGAGTACAGTACTAAACCCGAACAAACATTGTAAGCTGCGCAGTCTCACTGGCACAAGTCGAACGTATGGCAGCGTACACGGAGGTGGAATCTGCCTACGCTGTGAAGATTAAACTGTGTGACCTACATTGCACTGAAAGTCGTAGCGGCAGGCCAGGAAAACTTGTGGCATCAATGCTGTCCGCTGTCCTGGTGCTGCGCGGAGTGTTTTTTCGCTCCAGCTTGGCAAGCGTCGCTGACAGTCTCCTTCCTGCTGCTGTTAATTATACTTTGCCGGACATGGTGGCACAGCACTCCGAAAGAGTCCAAGGCTAACCTTGCTTGCGAAGCATGATCACGGATTGGCTATGTATTTCTCTTGGGTTCATCGTGCTTGTTGAAAACTCGTGCAAGTCACACAGGCGCCCTTTAATTCGCATTCTGATTCGCATGCGCATGCTCCGGCGGTCGGAGTAAATGGATCATATGTTCCGTCCGCCGCCTGCCCCTGGAGCGATCGGATGGACTGGTGCCTAGGCAGATGCGGTAAAGTGTGGGGCGAAGTGAGGGCTCGGCCAACATCTCGCAGCAAGTGCTTGTGCTGCTATGCGTCGCTTGGAAGCTATCGTAGATGTGGCCACCACTTGAAACCCAACCTTCTCTGCAGCATCCGCGGTACAACGCAGGTTGTCAAAGGCACCTCGGGCTAGCTTCACTGACGCAGCCTCCAGGACTGGCAATGGAATTGGCGAGGTAATCATGGGCACTGCATTCATTACAGCAACTGCATGGTGATGCCGTCTGTCTCTTTTGTTCTCGTCATGGCCATCGACTGTCGACTGAGGTGGCACGACAATACTTGCGCAACTCCCCAACTCAGGGTGCAGCCATCCTCGCTTGCATCTCTGTCACCATTGCCGATCATTAGAGAAGCAGTTCCTCTTCGACAGCCATTGTCATACTGTGAAGTTTACATATGACTACAGCTACAGCATGGACGCTCGAAGCGTGGCTGTTGGAGCGGAAACGACTCGTCCTCCTGGTAGCAAGAGGCTCCAAGCAACTTGGAGCCACTGTTCTTGCTCACGCTGCCATGATGCTGCAAACTCCTCCCGGCTCAGGTGTTTTGGCACTCACTGCAGCAAGCACTGAACCATGCCTCGAAGCTGTGCTTCTGCCAGAGAGTTCGTCGTCCAATTTCTAGCCTTTTCTCCTCTGAAGTAAGCTTGCACCTCGAGGGATCAGAAGGGCAAGGGATTCCCATGCACATCCACCACTTTCTGCCTGGATCCCAAGATGGCCGATGCTGACTCTGCTGTCGTCAGGTAGTCGTAGACGCCAGGATATGGAGGACTGGTGATGATCGCATGCACAGGCTTTGCCAAACGCAGGTCCTCGAATCAGGCACGAGGTAAAGGCCACTTGCCGGCCGAATCTAACGTCCTTTGAAGCCCAGCCCAGGCCCAGACACCTGGCTACGAGCAGCGCTCGGCGTCGTGGGTGTCAGCCCCGGCAGTCCACGAGCTTCGAGTGACTAGCGAACTTGCTGGTCGTTTCTCACCGTTTTACGGCAACAGTCAGAGGCAACAAATCCCACATGCAGCCGAGCTTCTCTACAGTCCCCTTGAATCACTTCCGCCCGTCCGAAACTGCACGCCCGCAGTGACCGCAACCGTGCAATTACCAGGCGGGCTGTGCCCCGAAACCGCGGTGCCGCCTCCTTCTTAAGCTGAGCATGCTGAAACCTAGGGGCAAGAGCAATCAAATACAATCAATCCCACACGCAAGGATCTGTTTCCAGTGGCCAAACACCAAACGTCGCTTCTGCCCAGCAACTTAGCCGACGACTGCCAATACGTGTCATCTTCGGATGCTTGGGAAGCGACCAGGTATGTGAACTGCAAACTTCTTTGAACGGCCTTATTTGACAGTGTAACCTATTTTTAACTTGACAGAGTGAAATCCGAGCTGACAAGCGCGTCGACAGAAGCAAAGGTTCAAACAGAATCGCCCAATGCGATGATGTTTGTCTGGAGCTGCTTCCACGGATCCCTCAGTTCAGCAAGGGCGAGTCAGAGGCATGCCGTGGATGAGTGTGGGCGAAACAACACAAGCAAGTCTGGATGCAGTTCGACGTCCATGAGAACAACCTGACTTGTTCGGACTGGCCACGGGCTCAGACTGATTCCACGAACCACACGCATCACCGCGGCATCGAAAGCCGCCAAATCCACGTCCTGGCGACGGGCTGCCAACCCACCACATATGCCCTCAGAATAAGTTGCGGCAAAAACGGGCAGCCAGCTGCTATATCAGCGGAAGCTTGTCGATGTTCAATTCAAGACGGCTCTCGGGTTCAAGGTTGGCAAAGCTTCAAAAGAAGGTCCTCTGCATCTACATGCTGAGAAGCTACGAAACTTGCCAGCGGCGACACGTCCTTACTGGCGCCAGAGGGCTTGAGTCAGCAACTGGCACAAGATGACACAGGTTCAGTTCTCGCTTCGACAGAGCAGGCTGCCGTAGTCGCTCAACACTGTATGGAGCTAAGAAGCTAACACAAGCACTTGGCGGGTCTTCCATGCCCATCTCAACATGCACTACGGCACGTTAGGTGGCCAGACGAGTTCATCGATTGTGGACACAAATTCCAAAGGGAATAGTTGAATAGTCCAAGGAGGCGGGATACGTCAACAACCACAATGAAAACGACTTGCTGCTGTTCTCACCGGCGATTGCCAATTTGCCATGCAATGTTGCCCTGACTGTTCCAAACACAGGGATTCCCATAGCATAGATCTGATCAATGACATGTTGGCACGTCTGTTGCGTGATGTAATGCACATGGTGTTGCTGGTTACTTCCTGTTTCAAGCATTCAAGCTCTTAGGATGTGTCTAGCAGGCTTGACATTAAACGCCCTTCATTTCTGCAGCTTTGTGGCGCAGCCGATTGCAGATCTTCCCGCAATGCAAGCTTCCTCGGCTGCATGGCTGCACATGCGGCAGGTGCAGTTCAAATTGCTTGCCAGCCGAAAGTCGATCAGGACTGTCCCAGAGCCACAAAACGGATCCAGGACAGAACCCTGCTCCACCACAAGACTGATCAACTCTCGAGCCGCCATCGCTTGCATTCCGGCCATGTACTTGTACCTGACATGTCAAGAACGGAACTTACACGAAAGTATGCGTAACGAGCTCGGGCACAGTCCGTGAGTGAGCTGGTCCTCCCCTGGAGGTAGAAGAGGATAGCCAAGGAGCCACTGGTGTTCCTGTTGCAGCATCCGGATTCTGATGCTTGTATGAACATGACACAGCACAAGCGGCGATCAGTCGGGGGCTTCGGAGCCCACGCTGACCGCTCATCTTCCAACCACCGACTCCGATAAAGCATGAAAGAAATATGTAATATAGGACTCTGGGGCCCCAATCATGATAATTAGCACACTTTCAGCAACCAAACCTGGAGTATGGAAGCGGAATGCTGACCAAAGAATTTCAAGCTTCGGACAGCCACACCTGCCCCACTGGGCAAGAATGTGACTCGCCGCGGGCTGCTTACACCAGCTCTCGTTGGCAGCCCACTCTTTGACCCCAGCATCAAGCCTGTTGCCTCCTTACGAACTGAGCTACGCCAACGCTGCTTGAAATCCAGTGCAGGCAGGCGGCCAGGGCACGCTCCAGGAAGGCAGTTACCTCAGTGACTCAGTGGCATCCCCCAACTCAGCTACGCAGGTCCGCAGCTCAAGCATGCTGTTTCAGAGACGAGTGCTTCAACGCTGACGGCTTCTCCCAAGCTTGAAAAGAAGGCCACAAACAAACTCAGCAGAGTTGATAAAACTCCTGTGGTACTGTGCACGTGCAAGGGTAGATGCAAGCACACCGACGCACTCGGCCGCATAAAGATAAAGGCAAGTGCCGCGGTGCTTGAACCTTCCAGGTTGACACCCTAAATATGCGTCGGACAGCAGATGCACGCTACATGGTGCTTGATAGAAGCCTGCCAGGTCGACGCACTAAACCTGAGACTGCACAATCGCAATGCCGCAGTTCCTGCAGTTGCCACGTTGCTTAAATACTTTAGATCGACCTCGAGGGACGGGGAGTTTGGAGCTAAGCTCCTAAGTACAGTTTTGAGTTGGGCCACTACTAACTACTAGTTACGATTTCAGTGAATTGGCAAACCGCAACTTTTGCAAGCTCCACAGAGCCAGCTAGCTTTCGTGAACACTCAGAATAAGCAAGCAAGGCCATAAAGACAAAAGAACAAGAAAGTGCTCCAACGCCTGTGGAACGATTGCCTCACATGCACAACTCTGAGGCTCCGAGGACTCTGCATCCGCTGGACCGACAGAGTGCAACTCAAAAGGCTCCGTGTCAGTGCTGTCCATATGACCACGCCTCAGCACGTGAAGGAGGCAGCTCCAAAGGCCAGGAGTCGCAGACTTCGCAGCTCAGTCCCATGCCACTGCAACTGTTGTAGATGCGGCCATAGGGCCAACACCTGCGTGCAGTGGAAAGTAGCGATCGCGGGCACTTGATTCGATGTCGATTGTCCTGCGTAAGTACATTGGGGATACCTTCGAAATATGACAGCCAGCCAAAATGGCCAAATGGCGGACACGATTACAAACAGCCGACACGATCTCCAAAACGAAGATCAAACCGGAACGCAAGGACAGGTCGTAGAAAGAATGGCAAGGGTACCAGGAGTAGCTGGCAGAAGCAGCAGGCAGTCGTTGTAGCATGGTGGGGCTACAGGTCCGGAAAACAACACAGCGCCTAAACCGAACCGTCCAAGCTAAAACCGCACCCAACCGAAAAGCTCAGCTTCATCAATGAGCCTGTCTCCATTGTCCACGGCGTTCGCATGCTCTCATCACAGCACTGCAGCCAACTGCGTCGGCCTTTGACCCAGCACTGGCAAGCGCACCCGAGACATCTGCAAGACAAAGGGCAATGGGCATAGACGAGCCTCATACCTCAAGGACGTCATCGACGAGAAGATGGATAGCGAGTGCTCCTGCCGCAAGCAGGGGAGGCTCAAGGTTGACAGGACAACCGCCGGTTTGGGTTTACACGAGATAGCCCAAGGCCCCGTCCCAGAGGCCGGCCGCAGAGAACACATCAATGAGCAAGCACCGAGCAACAGCACCAGGTTGGTCAACAGAGGCTTCGAGCAAACGATATAGGTGCAACGCCGCTTCCTGCAAGTGGAGGTCAGGCTGCCCTACTGCAGTCCGAATTCCATTCTTAACAATTCTTCACTGTCTTCACAAGGCTGAAGCACTGCTGACCAGGCTCCCAACGACTTGACTTCAAGCATGCACTCATCGTGGCCGTGCAGCACATTTCGTTCAGCTCGAGATGCCACTTGCGCATGTCCGTGAAGACTTGCAGAGCCTGGTCCTGGGACAGGAATCGCACAAGTCTGACATGGGTGAGAGAAGCTGCCTAAGAAGTTCGATCGTGCGGGCTCCAGAACGGCAACAAGTTTGCATTGGACGTTAATCTGAGATGCTTGGCAATGCTAGTCAGCTAGTCTGATCTGATGGACCAATAGGCACTTGCCAACTCTTGCATGTGTACAGAGGCAATGTACCACTTGCCCGTCAAGTATTGAGCAGAACGAAGCAAGAAGGGCTTATGTTTCGGTTCCGAATTCCTCATTCCAGACATACACTTCGCAATCGAGAGGCCCACTGTCTCTGCCGTTCGCAAGCGGTGATGACCGCACCTGACGCAGAGGCACACTGAGTGCGGCTAGCTCCTGGTCTGCAGGCGGTCACTTGCAATTTCCGGTGCTGGCGAAGGGCTGCAGACAAAAGCATCCGGCTGCAACCCTGATGTGCTCGCACTGTCCAGTAGATGCACGGCCTTGGTCTCTTAGAAACGCTATCTGCCTGGCAGAGACAATGTTTCCAGCGTGTTCTACGGCCAAGGGTCCATCTGCCAGTTCACCCGCCCGCAGTAACCGATGGTCACCTAATCGACGTGGTGTTTTTTTCCGCATTGCAATGGAGCCCACGACTGGCTGCCAAAGTCACGAAGTAGGCGGATGCGTCGCACACCCCTGCATCCACTACGGAGCTCAGCACTTTCAATGAAAGCTGCCATTGAGCGTCCTGCAGGCTGCAGGCGGGTGCCAACGGCTGCCGTACTCTTCGCAATGCGAACCTTCTCACCGGCTTTGATGCAAGCGTCCAGTGTAGCCTTGGAAGCAGAACACGCAGAGCGACAAGCCCATTACCGGAGCAAAAATTTGCCAAGTTGATGCGGGAAGTCTGAAACAAAGAACCGGGCTTGGCATGTACCCACGGGGCCGCGCCTGACTGATCCGTAGTTGTGTCTGCAGAGCTTGTTGCAGCAGCCCGAAGGCGACCAGCCAGTTTCGCCCTGACAAGAGCACCAAAGGCAGAAGCTGCAGCTGATGCCGGGCCCTTATCAGCGCCTTTGGAGCAAGCACTGATGCAGAGCGCATTTGCCGTCGTCTGCACCTCTGGATACACCCTGCAGCTTCTCTGTGGCTCTCACTCTCCTTCTTGCTTGCTTGGCATCTGGGATCTGGAGCACCCCTGCCCTCCCTCTATCTTTTTGCTTTGCTGTGGGCTTCGGCCGCTACAGTCCTCACGACCTGCCCGTGGCTTCGCAGCCTCATCCAACATTCTGTTTAGATGTGTTGTTGCTGTAGAGAAAATAGAAAGCTGAACTAACTCTTCCCGTTTGGAGGGCATGTGTGCTAGCAACGGTGTCCTGCGATGCCCACGATACGGTTGTGTCTCAGAGGGAACCCTTGGTAAACCCGGTAAGAACCAACACGAGGCGGGCACCAAGAAAGCCTTGACACGCTCAAATTCAAATTCGGGCATCACAGTGGAGTCAAAACAACTTCAAGGGGAAACGCTTGCTCTAATTGTCGCCCCTCCACTCCGATGTTGAGTCGGGCGCACCACTTTGACTATTAGCAAGGTGGAGATGCGAAGCCCCGTTGAACAAGTTGAACACGGAAAAAGCTTCGCTCAGAAGTTTGGCTCACCATGTGGCGTGTGGTTTTGTCCAGTGGGCTTAACTCTGGTCACTCTAGTCATCCGTGCTTGGTCTTGTCCGTCCTCTTTGCAGTTCTCAAGACTTTCTGGGCCACGCCGGGTTGTCCCGGTCGTCGCTTCCGCGACTCATTCGGCTCAGTGGGTCACGTGGTTCCCGGGACCCAACCTTGTGGCTGCGGCTCTGTCTTAGCTGCCCCTGCAGTGCTCCTCCATCTGCAGCAGGTGGCTGGCCATTGTTCCGGTCAGGTCATGGACGCACGCGTCTTTTTTGCGCAACCGCGGCCTCATGGACAGACCTTTCTTCTGTTGTGGTTGAGGGTGGTCCCGCGGTTGTAACCGGTTTCGGTCCCTTCTCTCGCAGCCCGGGTGAGCTCCACTCCCGGGTCAAGGCAAAAGCCTGCCACTGCCACTAGCACACAACCACTAGCCAGAAAACAACCAAAACCCCGAACCTTACCTGGAAGTCAAAGAATTTTGGCGTCCACGTGGGATACCGCAGTGTTCTGCCCGCAATCCTCGATGCTTCGAAGACAATGTGGGGTGCCAGCCGTGTCAAGTGGGAGTTAAACCATCTCCCTCTTTGCTTTGGCTTGCTGTGGGCGTGGGGCACAGGCAGTCCCTGTACCACGCACGGATCCGCGCAGCCCCATCCATCAGTTTGAGGGATGGGCTCGGCTGTGCAAAGGAGCATGTGCCCCCCAGCTGAGGGTGCCACATTTGCTGGCCCATGTGGGGCCGTGGGTTTGCCAGCAACGGTTTGGAAAAGTGTGTGCAAGAGGGGAAACCATGCCTGGATTGACGGCTTCCCACGTCTTATGCATGCTACTGGCACACCCTTCTGACGTACAAGGTTTGAACGAGTGTCCCTCAACACAAATTAAAAGGAAGTCACATGGCTTCAAAGAGACGCATTTTCCACTTTTTGTTAGCAGCTTGTTCACGGTCCCGGGTTTCCTGGTGTTGTTGCAGAGGTAGATGATTTTTCTCTTTGCTCTGGGGCATGAGCCAAGGGCAGTCCCCTTGACTCGCTCAACAGCGCAACCCCATCCATGATTTGGACAGATGGGCTCAGCTGTAGGAAAGCAAAGGAGCTGGTGCCCAGGCTGCGCGTGGAGTTTGCTGCTCTCTGACAGTGGGTCCCTGCTCGAAGGGTCAAAAAAGATTCAGCCTCAAGAGGAAAATTTGAAAAGCCTGCCTGAATTATGGGCCTCCACTCTCATGATGGTTGGGGCACACCACTTTGAGAAATAGCGAAGGCAAGCAAATGCAGGCCCCCGTCAGCAAATTCAGTTTTGCTATCATGGCTGGCACTCGGATACTCTGTCTGTATGGCCTAAGGCCATCAGTGAGTCACTGTAGAAGTTCGGCTCTCGGAAAAGAGTTGTTTTATTATGTTTCTCTTTCTCTCTCGATGGATCTCCCCTTCTTCATGCCAAAAATATGCGGAGGCCTGTTCCAAAGAATCTTGCAAGGCTGTTTGCGATTGAACTCGTGTTCCCGTTGCTTGCAAACGCGGAATGTCATTGTCATTCGCCCTGCCACTTTGATGGGATGCATCGGATTTAAGCGAGTGGCACTGCGGCACAAACCAACACATAAAGTGGTCCAGCTTCGCCCCCGTGCTTCGTGGATCCCCAGCTCG